GACAAGACAACAGACTAGAGGGGTGACAGGTGTTCACTTGGGTGAGAGGGAGGAAGGAGGTTTATAAGTGGGAAAAGCGCAATAAGGGTCAGAGGGTGGGGTGGACCACTTGAAGGGTGGAAGAGTAGTGGAACTGAGAAATACAGAGGTGATGATCTGAAATGTAAACCCCTTCATGGCTCACATTAAAGAAAAATTTTAAACAGTGAATGTGTTGTATGGAAAGCTGGATAAAAAAAGCCATAGAGTAAGACAGAGTTGAGTAAGACCAACTTGTTGACTTGGCATTGGACAATGTAACAGTAACTTTACGACCGCAGTCATGAGTTTATAGAAACACCAATATGTCTAGGTATGAATATTTATTACCAGATATTGATTTCAAAATTTGTGCTTTCTTAAACATAATGTCATTGTGGAGTAAGACTGTTAACATTTCTGCACACAATGAGAGAGATATATTTAATGAATCAAGTAATATTTAAGGAGGCGTTTGGAAGTTAATAACAAAAGATTTTAATAGGATAAATGAATACACTCACTAAATACACATTATTTAGCTATGTAATTTTTAAAGGCTAGCATGAAGAGATGTCTGAAAGTGATACAATTTATAGCTTTAGTAAGAATTTTTCCTCTCAAGAGTATGATGCACTACTTAATCCAGTGTTTTGGGCTTCAGTTTGTCAAAGTCCACCTGTCTGTATGGAGCCCTGGTCGTACAACGCTGAGCACTCAGCTGTGAGCTACAGGTAGGTGGTATCAACCTATATGCACTTTGAGAGAGAGAAGACCTAATGGTTTTCTTCCATGAAGCTTTCAGTCAATGGTAGCTCTGTTTTGTCCAAGTGGATAGGAAAGAGGGAACCTATTACAAGGAACTATATGTGACCTCCTCTCTGGGGGACAGACAACCGAAAAGTGGGTGAAGGGAGATGTTGGAAAGGGAAAGATAGGACAAATTAATAATTTATAAATTATCAAGGTCTCATGAGGGAGAGGGGAGTGGGGAGGGAGGGGAAAATTGAGGACCTAATGCCGGGGACTTAAGTGGAGAGGAAATGTTTTGAGAATGATGAGGGCAATGAATGTACAAATGCGCTTTACACAATTGATGTAT